CACACACACACACACAATCAAAGTATAGAATCTCTTCTATTTTCCCTATTTAGGCCATTCACTGCTTTTACCATTTGCATGGAAAAATGACCAGTTTCACAGGCAACTTCCCAGTGTCTTATTGGTAAGTACTTAAAACACTAAATGCTATATGATCTTCTAAAAGCTGCCTTTAAGTACACATGATGGTTCTGCACCTCAGCTCTGTTGTCTGGGATGGGGAGAGCTAGCAACTTGTCCACAGTAGCGCTGGACAGCCCTGTTGTTCTCCTCAGTTCTTCTTTCAGCTCTTCAACATTTCTGAACATTTCTATTAGTTGACCTGTAAGAAAAATGCACATGTACACAGTTCACACAGTGGTCGTAACTCCATTCTTTTCAGGTACACTAACATAGGGAAACCTTTCAGGCTACCAAACATTGAGCACGTACGCCTCATTAGAAACAGATGTCTCCCAGGTTTGGCAAACTTTGCATCTTTAAGATCTATTTCTGTCTGATTTAGACTTGTTCTTATTATGATACCATTAACTCAAGGTAACAGATTGCTCTAGGTTATAAATTTTCCTGAGATGTCTGCAACTCAAGGTTGCTTCAAGGAAAATATGGTTTCCTTGCAGACTCTGATCACATAATGCACTAAATAAATATTTCTCCATCTGATTTAAAACATTGCATAAATTCAAAATACTTTTAAATTATGATCATGTGATAGTGCCAATTTCAGAAAAGGTTTGATAAATCCATAATGTAATACCACAGGCCATTTCTCCCTAATTTTTTCTCTGTGTGCGATCGTTTATAAAGTGTTTTCACAATTGTTATCTCACTTTTAAATAGAATGTATTAGTCTCAAGCTCTTTTAGGATGACAATTATAATTAGTTCACATTTGAGTTATTTATGATACAATAAACAATATCTTAATTTTATTTTAGATAATAGTAATCTCTGTTCTGCAAACATCTTTGGGTTTTTTAATACTAAGTGTCTCTCATGCATATACCTTATTTTTAGACTTAGTATGCTTCCAATTTTGTGCCTGCCTATAGCCCAGAATGCCTTTCTTTTCAGTAGTTAGGTATTACACAAAGAAGAAATGTATTATGTGGTTCATCGTGCTTGGAATACTAATAGAAGGTTCTGAACTGAGATTTCTGTACACAGACATGTATCTTTTTATTTTTTAATCAGATTATTCTCACTGAAGCAAACATGTCTCACCCTAGTTCACACAGCCAACTATCAAATGCCTTTTACTATATCAGAGAAACAAAAGGCAGTGGTCTAACTAGCTAAATATGACAATCTTTTTGCTGTGATATGGAACTTCCAGGCTTCCTTCTCCACTAGCTTTCTGTGTGTTTGTTTTAGACAGCGTATCTGAAAGCTTCAGGTTCCTAGTGTGTCAGTGCAGACAGAGAAGCAGGTTTGGTTGAGAAGCACATCCATTCTAATGAGCCTTTCAAATACGGGTGGGGGTAACACCTGGCTGCTCAGAAGAGACTGCGCTGGTATTGACAAGCAGCAAGGCGTCTATGGTCGTCATTAACTGTGTGATATTGTTCAAGTAATTCATTTGCAGTGCCTGTTCCAGGAGCCTAGAAGAAAACAGAAGAAGTTGTTCAACTAGGCATAACATTATCTTGAGAGGGGATTTTGTCACCGCAGAAGACAATGGAAAAACATACCAGTCCATATTTAAACTAATTTTTCTGGGATCCCCCGTGAGCAAATCCCTCAGCTTTTCAGATATGATATTGTCATGGTACAGTACGTCGGTGGCAATGTCGGTGCCCAGCTCTACTGCCTCAAGGAGTTGTACATGAAAAGTGTGGTCCTCACACAGCTTCCAGAAGCTCATGTTGGCGAGTGGACAGGATTTCTCTATGGAACTGAAGGTTTCTGGTTCGCAGAGAAGTTCTGTCACATTTCGAAGTTGAGACAGCTTTCCAGAAAAGAAGAAAATAGACTAGTAATATTGTTCTTCATATTTAGTATATTTAGTATTTGAGAATTAACCGGATTCCATAAAAATATTTCTGCCTATGCGTGATGTAGTTGTGCATGCCTCTGTTGGGAGGCAGAGGCAGGAGAAGCTCTCTGATATTGAGCCCAGGCTGGTCTATATAGCGAGTTCCAGCCAGCTTGAGCTACATGGTGAGACCCTGACTCAAAAACCTAAACAAGAAAAAGTTCTGTCTATGTATGTAGTTGGCACTGGGTTTAGGCTTATTATAAAGCAAAGCCTGCTGTTAATTTAGTTTCTTGTTCTCCTAAGAATCTCATAAAACCTTGGAACATACAAGACTGGTCTTTCTTGATTATAGATTTATAGGTTTAAAATGTAGTTTTAAAAATTAAGTGAGATGGAGAGATGGCTCAGTGTGTATATACTGTGAAACACCACATACCAGAGTTCACTAGCACCCAAATAACAAACCAGGTGTCCTGCATTCCCCAGATCCAATGGATCAAGCATTCGCCTGGCTTCTGTGAACACACAGATGCATGCACCCACACACACATGCACTCCAACACTGTCACAACACAGGCACAGACACACACTTTCACACAAATAATCAAAACAAAACAAATCTTTTAAAAATGGTAAAAATAGTTTGGTTTTATCGAGTTTAAATCACAATCCCTTCAAGTAATTTTATGTGATATATGTTTTAACATAAATGTGAGGACAGAGAGAAAGCAGATTTGATTTGAATCCTTTAAAAGGTCTTTCTGTTCCACATCCGTTATTATGTTTTTTATATAAAAACAAAACAAAACCAGAAAGTAACAAGTGTTGATGAGGATGTAGAAAATTACAACTCTTGTTTTCTGTTGGTAAGGGATGTAAAATGGTGTGGCTTGTATGGAGAACAGTATTACACTTCCCAGAAGATATAAAACAGAATTAGCATATAACCCCAAAATTCTACTTCTGAGTCTCTGAAAACAATACATTGTATACCAGTGTTCATAGCAACATTATCCATAACAGTCAAGAAGTTGAAGCAACCTAACAGATGAATGGATAATTAGAATGTGCATGTGTACTCCAAGTGTTTAGAGTCCCCAACATTTTGTCCCCAGTGGCCTTATTTTGGAAGCTGAGGAGGTACAGCCTTCCTGGAGGAGACACATCACTGGAGGGGGGCTTTGAGAGGTCTTAGCCTAGTCCCATTTCCAGTTTTGCTCTCTCTGCTCCCTGTGCCTGCTTGAAGATGTGAACTCTCAGCTTTCTGCTCTGGCTGCCTCCTGCCACAAGGTCTCCCTGACTGATTCATCTGGAACCATAAACCAAATAAACTCCTCCTTCTATAAATTGTCTTGGTCATAATGGTTTGTCACAGAAACAAAAACAGAAAATATACATATACATATACAT